GCTTTTCTCAGGCCTTTGTTGTTGCATCTGCACTATAGGAATACCCCATGTTGACACCCCTTGAACCCTGGGATTTCATAGGATGGAGCTACAGCAATTCAAGTGGTGTCAAAGTGCATTGTTTCTACAGTGTAGATGCACCCTAGATCTATTGTCTCACTACATCTGAGGAAGTGGGCTTTTAGTCTAAGAAAGCTCATGCTACCAACTTCTTTCTTCCATTTAGGTCCCAAACACACCACAGAAATAATCCAGTCTGAGACCGCTTTAACTGCCCTGGCTCATTGCTAGGGAATCCTGGGAAATGTAGTTTATTTTGGCACAGAGTTCTCTGACAGAGAAGGCTAACTGGCTCCCAGAATGATAGTTCCCAGAATACCCTAGCATTGAGCCGAGGCAGTTAAAGCAGTCTCAAACTGGATTATTTCTGCGGTGTGTTTGGGACCTCAGTCTCAAAGGTGCTACAGGATCCCTTTGTGTACTGTTTTTTCCAGACTAACACAGCTGTGTCTTTGAATTTTCTCACTACGGTGCCTTACAACGACCCTGCAAGGTCGACCAGCACTCACCATCACCGTCTTCTTTTACTTCTTCATCTTCTTTCTTTCCTCTAGAATGGGCAGCCAGGCACTGAGAGAGCATGGCACATCGAAAGCCACAAATCAGGGGGATCTTACCAGTCTTTTAGCATTATTTTTCAAGGTTAACTCTCTTTGTTGTTTTGTTATTCTTTCCCAATCCACTTTTGGGGTCTTTCCAAGGTCCTTCACTCCCCACTCCTGGGATTTGCAGCTGTGGGTTCCAAAAGCCAGACAGTAAATTTCAGGGCCCATGGCTCAGATTTCCCCTTGAAATTTGGGTGAAAGCAATTTAAGGCAGAGGCATAGCAAGGGAAGGTGTGCTGACTGCGAAGGAGGCTAGGGAGGTAATATTAAATTTTGGTGTCTGGTCTGAGAGAAGGATTATGAGGAATTTAGGGGTGGAAGATAGTGGTAAAGTCTTGAGGACCAGCATGGCTTAGTGGTTTGACTGTTGGACTATGACTAGAGACCATGGTTCGATTCCTAGCTTGCCCATGAAACCCACTGGGTGACCTTGGGCAAGTCACACTCTCTCAGCCTCAGGGGAAGGCAATGGCAAACCTCCTCTGAACAAATCTGGCCAAGAAAACCCCAGGATACGTTTGCCTTAGGGTTGCCATAAGTCAGAAATGAGTTGAAAGCACACAAAAATTCACATCCAGCTCTTCAACCCCAAAGGCTCCTAGAGCAGTTTAGCGTTACGGTAGTTAATTTCCATTGGTTTACTATTGACTACAGCAATGTCTCAGTTTGCATCTAACCCTAGAGATTAGCATATGCGCATACTATACAAATTCATATCCTATTTTTGGTTAAGAAGGAAACTAGGACTTGGAAGGGCAGCTATGAAGAAACTGGGCAAGATCCTGAAGTGTAAAGATGCCTCATTGAATATTAAAACTAGTATTGCCCATGGTGCCCTATTTCCCAACAACAGACAAGGGTAAGTCACACGCTCTCAGCCTCAGAAAACCCCATGATAGGTTTGCCTTATGGTCAAAAAGAATCTGAAGGCACACAACAACAAGAGGTCAGGAATCGAATCATTAGAAATAGGATCTGCCTCCAGATCTGGGAGAGGACGCTCTATGACCCAAAGAGGTGAAAATGTGGATCGGGATACCTAGATTCTTTTCTCAGAAACTTGTGAGAACATCTGATGGAGTCGAGGGAGTTACCATAGAATTGCACAGTTGACTTACATAAGTTTATTTAATTTATATCCTGCCTTTTTCTTAGCACATAGATTCAAGGCAGCTTTGTTGCTGTAGTTGTAGTGTGCCTTCAAGTTGTTTCGACTCATGGCAGCTCTAAGGAGACCTTATCATGGGGCTTTCTTGGCAAGATTTGTTCAGAGGAGGTTTGTCATTCCATTCCCCTGAGGCTGAGAGAGTATGACTTGCCCAAGGTAACCCAGTGGGTTTCATGGCCGAGCGGGGATTCGAAACCGGTCTCCAGAGTCATAGTTCAATACTCAAACCACTGGGCCATGCTGGCTCTCCGCGGTGCCTTACAACCATTAAAAAACAACAGCACTCCACTACTACTACTAAAAAAAGCCTATTTATACAGAATTTAAAGCACAATTAATCCCAGTTCTGTTTAAGAAACACAAGGGAAAAGCAGTTTAAAAGACACATTTAAAACATAATGAAATAGAAATACAGCACACACACACACCCATATTAATAGGTCCCTTTGTCCAAACAAGTTGAAAACCAAATGTCTGCCTAAACCAAACCATCTTGGCTTGCTGGACTTCTTGTAGAAGGGAGTTGCACAACTTGGGAGCAGCCACCAAGAAAGCCCTTTCCCGCATCTTCACCAAACATGCCTGTGCTGGTGGTGGGACTAAGAGAAATATATTAAAGAGAAAGATATTAAAGCAGATATTAAAGCTCGTTTTCAAGAGAAAGTTCATATAAGTTCCAGGTATCCTGAGTGTTTCACACACAGACACACAAAATCACGATTCCCCATTCACCGATTTACAGTGGGCCCTTGGTATCCACTGGGATTTGATTCCAGGACCCCTGCGGATACCAAAATCTATGGATGCTCAAGTCCCATTAAATACAATGGCATAGTCAAACGGTGCCCCTTAGCTAAAATGGCAAAATCAAGGTTTGCTTTTTGGAATTTATATATTTTAAAAATATTTTCAATGCTTGAATCAGTTGATAAAACATCTGGGGAGGACTGACTGTATTTTCACAACAACCTTGTGAGGTAGGCTACACAGCCGAGGGATAGTAACTGTCTCAAGATCACCTATTGGGTAAGTAGGAGATGCGAACTATGGGCCTTTGCAGACTGCCAGAAATAGTGCAAATTGAGTCCA